GGGTACACTCTAAATTAGAACTTGGCACTCGTAAAAATGATTTTAAGTGTGTTCATCGTTTTGATAGTTCAATTTTTAGCGTTAAGGTATGTTAAATTTTGATTATTTAGACCATGTATCAAACAAACTTTTCTAATTTTTTTTATAGCAAATAAATGGTATTGTTGATTTCCTGGGACAAAATCCAGAAATTATCAAAGCCATAGATTGTCCTTTTTACGGTGAAGAAAATTTTTTTGTAAAAATTATTACTAAAGAAAACAACAATTTCCAAAAAAATTTTAACTCATACTCAATCCCTACAATAGCATTACAAAATATATTTTATTGGGCAATAAGAAATTTTTGTTTTTGTTAATATTACAGGATGCCTTCGAAATCATTGTAGAGGATGTATTTTGTCCAGTTTTTAGTAAAGAATATGTAACCGAGCCAGATATTTATATAAATGTTGAAAACCAAGTGGTTGTTAACATCTCGGTAGTTAAACCATTTCCATCGGAAACTCAAGTAATCAGTGTTTTATCCACGTTTAAGACCTTTCCAATGATACTAAATTTAATTTAAAACACTTATCATATCAATACGCCGAAGACATAATTCTCCTTATTCTCTTAATTATATAGATTAGTACGTTCTGATGGTAACCGAGGTAATTATAATTTTTAGGCACGCTTTCAATTACTTGGAGCATCGATGGGTGAATATGTTATAGGGTGACACTGGAATCGATGTACAGATGGGCTTGTGTGAAATGCTAGATGAACCTATCTTACTGGGTCCTGCTATTAGAATGTTTGGATTTAAGACTTGTCCACCACCTGTTGTAAGATCTAATTAAATATTTTTTATTACGCGGGTATTTTTGTAATTTTTCATATTATTTTAGGGTGTTTATGGAAATCAAGGCCTTGAAATACCAATGGAATCATTGCCAGATGAATTTATATCTAATAAATATCTAGTAGTCTTAGAATTACTATACGAGGACGAGAAATTAGTCGTATTAAATATATACTCTAATTTTCAATAAATCTTGAAAGAACTTAAGGACAAAAAATTATTAGTACACTGAAAGAAATTTTCTTTAGAAATTACCGTTAAACTCACGGTAAACGTGGGACAGATGGCACGATCTAATCATTTGTCGATAAGTGAGATAATTTTTAACTTTCTTTCAACAAATTTTACCGTGGTGTACCGTAAATTTTATTAGGTTTTCCGTAAATTTCATAAAGTCCATCATAAAATGAAAAAATTTTTTCATTTTAAAAATGGTATAATAAATAAAGGGCCGCATTATGTCCCACGATTACAGTGAATTTAACGGGAATTTAAAAAAAATATTCCTTTTCGTCTATTAATACAATTGTCATGCCTCGAAAAATGGACTAATCTATTGAATAAAATTGTTTCACCTAGTAATTGTAACTCTTCTATCCACTTTCTAAGATTAGTTTATGATTTATTTAGTATGCTTTGTTATTATTATCTCCTTGTATTATTTTCGTGTCATTTTGAGCTCTCCGAGCTCAAAGAGTAAGCTATTCTATGCTTTTGA